AACTGTTGTATCATGCTTAATCCTGCCCCTTTTGCCATGTTTCTGTATATTTGTATGGATTGGTTACTTGTAGCTGTCAATCAGCACTGTTTGGCTCCACCTCTTCCTGCAAGAGGGGAGAACTTCCTTTTCTTTTCATTCTGCGATGAGAGTTCCTGCAACATGGACGTGAGTAACAGACTTCATTCTAAAGGACCCTGTTAAGTTACCTCTTAGCACCAATTCTGAGGTTTTTACCCCTGGGACTCATGCTTTATGTCCAGATCGTCCTGGACGGATTACTGAGGAGACCCAGGCGCCTTCAAGCCAGTTCTTTTGGCACCAGAGGAAGATCCTGAATCTTCAAAATAGGCCATTTGAATTGGGGTTGTGGTTTTGCTCCGGCACTCACAACCATTGAGGAAGAGGAAACCTGGTGAGGCTTCTCAGCTTCAAACCCCTTGGACCCAGGACTAATAGAGACTGTAAAGTGTGTTTTTCCTTCACCCTTCTAAAATTTTCCAGTTTATTGCATTGAAGAAATGACTTTGTGACAAATAAAACTTATTTTGAGTTATTTACATCGTTTTGGGTTCTTGGGAGTTCCAGTTTCCTAAAGGAGGGCAAGAAGCAATCCCTTGGGGGAAAGATGCCACGTCCATCCTCCTTTTAAGACTAATAGCCCCCAAGCGCGACGGCACAGTGCATCATTTTGAGTCTCTGTTTTTAGAGAAAATATGGGATACAGATGATAATAATAATAATAACAACAATTCTCTCCACAAATTCAAGAAGAACAAATTGCACTGTGAACATTCAGAGGAAACAATCAGGGACAGCTAATCACCTCTCAACAAAAGATTCCCTCAGGCACTAACAAGCCACACCAAAAAACCACCAGGGGTCCTGTCACTTCTGCAGGAGTCTACCGTATACCATGCAGCTGTGGACAAGTCTACACAGGGACCACCAAACGCAGCATTGCCCAAACACGAATCAAGGAACATGAAAGGCACTGCAGGCTACTTCAACCAGAGAAGTCAGCCATAGCAGAGCACCTGATGAACCAACCTGGACACAGCATATTATTTGAGAACACAGAAATGCTGGACCACTCTCACAACCACCATGTCAGACTACACAGAGAAGTAATTGAAATCCACAAGCATATGGACAATTTCAACAGAAAGGAGGAAACCATGAAAATGAACAAAATCTGGCTACCAGTATTAAAAAACTCTAAAATTACAACAGCAAAACAACAGAGAGGAAACAATCAGGGACATCTAATCACCTCTCAACAAAAGATTGCCCCAGGCACTGCCAGGCCATCAAATGTTAATCAAGGTGGTCAGTTGAAACATTCACACCTAGTTCTAGCAGACAAGGGTTCTTTGTCCCACCCTGGTCATTCCACAGATATATGAACCCATTTTCCTAGTTCCAACAGACCTCACTACATCTGAGGATGCTTGCCAAAGATGCAGGCAAAACGTCAGGAGAGAATGCCTCTAGAACATGGCCATATAGCCCCCAAAAACCTACAACAACCCAGTGATTATGGCCATGAAAGCCTTCAACAGATGTAATCTTAAGTCAAAGAAGGCAAGCAGATGGCAAGAAAACACACTCCCCAGTGAAATTAGGGTGACTCCCTCTCTCCTCTCCTTTAGAAAAAAATCTTAAAGTTTGACTTTGGGATCAAGCATTCGGGCAGCTGACCAAGCAGCAACTGCAATGACTTATGAGAACTGTCAATGAATGGACTGGAATTTTGGATTATGATTTGGATTTGGGGACTTAGGCTTGGTTGTGTTTTAATACTTAATGGTCAATATTTTAATGTATTTTTATAATCTTGTTGGTTTGCTTAATGTTAATTGTGTGTACTGCAATTGTTTGATTGTTGGCAACAGCCCCTCCCCCCCCAGGAATAAATAAATAAATAAATAAACAAAACAATGAGGGGGGAAGCTAGCAGGGAAAGAATATCTACAGTGATAAGACTGATGGATTTGGATGGAATCAAGTATTGTTGTTGTTGTTATTATCTTTATTTATACTCCATCTTTCTCCCTGTGGAGACTCAAGGTGGCTAAAAATTCACACTAAACGTGTTTAAAAAGTGCAATACAAAAGTTAAAAACCAATTAAATAATAACAGTCTGATAAAAACAATTAAAATACAATAAATACACTTAAAATGGTATTTATGTAGGAAAAGAAAGATAGAGGCGAGATGAGGGGATTCTATCTTGATCAAGTTTCACTGCCTTGCAAAATAAGTTATGATTAATGGACAGGAAGCCTAAGAGGGGGAACACAACACTAGGTGAAACAAAAATACTCACCATGTTTCTCATCGCCATCCAACTCAACTGTTGCCTCCTAAGTGAGAGCAATTGAAGAGAAAATGAAAAGAAGCTTTGTGTTACCATGACTTAAAAGAGTGCGGGGGCTTGTTGCACATAAAGGTATGGAATTGGTGCTCTGCCCTACAAAAGATGACTACATTGTTCTGTTTGTTTTGAAGAAAACTGTTGCATTTTACAAAAAAAAAAATGTCTATTTTGCCCCTGAGAAATAACAAAAAGGACATTTCTCCAGTCTCTGAATGTGTCAATTCAGGCAGAATATAAATCAATGAAATCCAGTCAATAAGATTCTTCTAATACATGGTACAAATGAAAGCCCCATGGCATGCCTTTTCATGTATCTAGCTCAGAACATAACACTGACAAGCTGGAATGTGTCCAGAGGAGGGCGACTAAAATGATTAAGGGTCTGGAGAACAAGCCCTATGAGGAGCGGCTTATAGAGCTGGGCATGTTTAGCCTGCAGAAGAGAAGACTGAGAGGAGAAATGATAGCTATGTATAAATATGTGAGAGGAAGTCAAAGGGAGGAGGGACCAAGCTTGTTTTCTGCTGCCCTGGAGACTAGGACATGGAGCAAAGGCTTAAACTACAGGAAAGGAGATTCCACCTGAACATTAGGAAGAACATCCTAACTGTGAGAGCTGTTAAGCAGTGGAGCTCTCCACACCAAAGCGTGGTGGAGGCTCCTTCTTTGGAGGCTTTTAAACAGAGACTGGATGGCCATCTGTTGGGGGTGCTTTGAACGTGATTGTCCTCCTTCTTGGCATGGGGTTGGACTGGATGGCCCACGAGTTCTCTTCCAGCTCTATGATCATATGATTCTATAAGAATGCCAATTAGAAGGAATAAGCCAAGAGGTTTGGAAATGATGGTTCATCCCAGAAGACATCCCTCAACTAACTGAGCTAGGGGATGTTTCCATTTCTAGATTAGTTGCATTATTCATAAGTTAAGTGAAAATCAATTTACTGGATTCATACAAGGGAAGAAACAGAATGGTACACAGCTATTTTATATGTGAATTAAAAGCTTAATTAACCAACCGTTGTAATTTCTGTTATTTCAGGTAGCTGCGGTGCTGCCTCTACTACAAACTGGTCATCCTCCTCATCTTCTTTATCTATAATTACATTTGACACTACTTTGGCACTACCATTTCTAAAAGAAATCAAGGTGAAAAAGAGAAATAAATAATAATCTTACAATCAGTGATCATTCAAAGAATAACATGGAGATCTATTTAATAAAAGTGAGTTGGTAAAAAATAACATTTTTTTGTCATTTTTAGTAAAAATGCTCTTCATTTATCGAAAAAACAATTTCAAATTTGACATCAAGATGCAAAAATATAAATAAAAATGGGATGGAAAATCAAGCTACCATTCACAATGACCAGGAGAGAGTGAGTATAAAGAGATATTGTACGGGACCCAATGCTCACAACAAAAACGCTCCCACCTCATCCCAATTTTTCCCAAACAGCTACATTAGCTCAGTGGACTAAACTGAAGCCTGTGTTTACCTGTAACTGGATTTCTTCAAATAGTCATCTGTGAATTCACACAACTGGGTATCCTGTGTATTCTTCAGAACCTTCTAGAATCACTAGGCAGAACATTTTTGGTGGTAATCCTGTCCACTCTCCCCCCACTGCATAAAATGTCTGGTTGCCTCCAAAACAAGAAGGGTTATCCAATCTTCACATCTTCACATATCGCAATTAAAATCTGGAGGGGTGTGGTGGGGGTAGCACAATATTTCAAGCAAAAAGAGGATCCACATCCTCTACATTAGAGTGTGTCGTGTGGCATACCCTGCAGAGGCAAAACTATTGGGGACTGCTCAACTGGAGTGATTTGGGTTGCAGGTGGTTCAGTCTCAACTACTAGTGAAGGCACTTCACTATAGGATGAGGACTTCATCATTTTCTTCTTTGTCTTATGGCTGGCTTCTCCGGAGAAGGAATAATCTCTTTCAATGTAGTTTTCTTCAAATGGGAAGCAGTCTCCTTCTCAGCTGAATGTTTTAAGACCACCTTCATTGACAAGGCCAATGACTTTGAAGTTGAGGGTTTTAGCATCAACCTCAACTTTATAGCCAAATTTGACATCAAAAATTGAGGAGAGAGTGCTTGTTGGTACAGCCTGGCCTCCTGATGTTTCCTTGCCTGAAGCGGAAAACTCGGCAGTGAATACAAGATTGGACTTAGTGACACTCTTTGAGATACATTGAGCACCTCGAGTGTCCATCTGTGTCTGGGAGTTTCTCATTACATTGTTCACATCTCTTAAATCTGGTGGAGGCTATTTCATAGGAGACTGCGATGCCTGGGTACTCACAAAGGCCCAATAGTTGAAAAGACAAGGGAGGCAACAATACGCGGAGGGCAAAGAGTCTCAGACTTCTCTCCTGAGAAACAACTACTAACCTAAAGTTAGTGATCTGAATAGTTTTGTAAGTAGAAAAAGCACGGGAAAATTACAAGCTTGTACTGAGTGAAGGATCTTGAATTCAGCTGCAGAATGACAACTGGGCCTTTTATGCACTTGGGAGAGTGGGTGGTTCCCACCAAAATTTTTCTGCCCAGTGATTCTAGAAGGTTCTGAAGAGGCTCTGCGCAGGCACAGAATACACAGTTGTGTGATTCACAGAGACCACGAAGAAGAAAAATAATAATTATTCTGAAGTATAGGTTTTGGCCCTTTTTGTTAAAAATATGTTGATTCAGTAACCAAACCATATTTCTGCACAATCTGAAAATATTTTTTGTATCAGGAATATTTTATGTGATAAAACAGTTGAAAACAATTCACAAATATTACACCATGTTACACTATTTTTGTTCCTGGGTTATAAATGCCATTTTCTAACTGGTTCTATCATAAAAACGTGAAAAAAGTTTATTAAACTACAAAAACTTTGTTTTTGTGGGGCATCCTATGGTACATTTTTCTATAGTTTTTCAATGATTATCTTATTCCAATTCAATTTAACACAGTTTGTGGCAGCCACAAAAAGGAAAGTTTCTGAAGTGTAACAACTACGTACTTTCAAATTAAGTGCCGCACAATAAAACAGGAAATAACACTTTTAAACCAGGTACAGATTTTTAAAAAAATGTTGTTATATAGTGTATTATTTCTCTCTTATATATAAAAGCGTGAACTGGCATAATAACAATATGATCCTATATACTCATGTCTAAGCCAAAGGCAGGCTTGGGGATCCAAATTCATAGGTTTTTATATGATCCATGGATAAGTTGAGGGTCATTTTGCAGAGAGGGGAAAGTACCACTCCTGACTCAGAACCAGGTGACCTTGGCCCCCACTACCCTTATTTCCCCACCCAGGCATTCCCAGAAGTGGGAAGAGTAGAGGCTTCTTCTAGGTTATCTCAGGATGCAATAAACACTTGTCTTTTGCCACTTTACTCAGAGAATGGGATGTTTCCTTTCATAAGAGATGAGGTAGACTACTCACATTGACCCATGAATTAGTCAACATAGTTTTTAAGTTTGATTTTTATACTAAAATTTCTAGATTTATACATGAGTATATGGGGTAGTTTAAAATAGTTCACAATATTCTGAAACAGAAAATCTTTATCCATTTCTTGCAGAATTTCCTTTTTTGGGTCTTGTAAAAATGTGTTTTTCTGTGTATAGTGTGTTTAAAAAATAATACCAAATACTGAAGCAAACCAGACAGACTTAATTTAGTTATAAAGAAAACTAGGGAATGATACATTAGCATTGTTAAGTGCAGTGGTGCAGTGGGTTAAACCCCTGTGCCAGCAGGACTGAAGACCGACAGGTCGCAGGTTCGAATCCGGGGAGACGCAGATGAGCTCCCTCTATCAGCTCCAGCTCCTCATGCGGAGACATGAGAGAAGCCTCCCACAAGGATGATAAAACATCAAAACATCTGGGTGTCCCCTGGGCAACGTCCTGCATATGACCAATTCTCTCACACCAGAAGCGACTTGCAATTCCTCAATTCGCTCCTGAGACGACAAAAAACCAAAAAACTGTTAAGATGCCTTTTCATAATGCAGAGATGCTGTCCTTACCTTTCTGGCACTATAATATCCGTACTTTCTTGGCGTTTTATCCGAGGGGGAGCTGGTCTTGCACTGCTTGGTCGTGATAGTCTTCTGTGATGTAGAATAAAAGGTGTTTCAATCATTTACACAGATAATTTGAATTAATTTCACAAACACTATAATTTTAAACCTGATTCTTTGCTCTTCTATAAAGAGCAGTTACGAGAATAACAAAAAACTTTATTTTTAAACTAAGAAATACACAAAGAAAAAAATCCAATCAAACTTCAGGACATTAAAGTTTCAGGAAAAACGAAATGCAAAGATACAGAATGGGGGATGCCTGGCTTGAGAGCAGTACGTGTGAAAAAGATCTTGGAGTCCTTGTGGACAACAAGTTAAACATGAGCCAACAATGTGATGTGGCGGCAAAAAAAGCCAATGGGATTTTGGCCTGCATCAATAGGAGCATAGTGTCTAGATCTAGGGAAGTAATGCTCCCCTCTATTCCGCTTTGGTTAGACCACACCTGGAATATTGTGTCCAATTCTGGGCACCACAATTCAAGAGAGATATTGACAAGCTGGAATGTGTCCAGAGAAGGGCAACTAAAATGATCAAGGGTCTGGAGAACAAGCCCTATGAGGAGCGGCTTAGGGAGCTGGACATGTTTAGCCTGAAGAAGAGAAGGCTGAGAGGAGATATGATAGCCATGTATAAATATGTGAGAGGAAGCCACAGGGAGGGGGAGCAAGCTTGTTTTCTGCTTCCTTGGAGACTAGGACGCGGAACAATGGCTTCAAACTACAAGAGAGGAGATTCCATCTGAACATGAGGAAGAACTACCTGACTGTGAGAGCCGTTCAGCAGTGGAACTCTCTGCCCCGGAGTGTGGTGGAGGCTCCTTCTTTGGAAGCTTTTAAACAGAGGCTGGATGGCCATCTGTCAGGGGTGATTTGAATGCAATATTCCTGCTTCTTGGCAGGGGGTTGGACTGGATGGCCCATGAGGTCTCTTCCAACTCTACGATTCTATGAAAGTGTATTGATTTTAATGATTGTGCAATAATTGGGGATGAAATATAGTGAATTTTGGTAGGACAGGGCCCTACTTCTGTTTGCATACCTGACTTTTTTTGATGAAAAAGTGCCACTTCAGTGCTTAAATATGATTGTTATCTCAACTCTTCAGCCTTAAGGTATAATCCAAAATTGTATTTGCAATCACATTGGAACTGCTTCAGGGGATGTATATTGGAGAAGGGATTTGTTTCCACCCAATTCCATCATATGTCACTATTTGACAGAGGATCTATCCTTTAATAATTAAATCAATATGCATTTCATGAGAAAAAAAAGACACACTGACCCACCTTTGGGCGACCTGGGTAGGAGATTCATTAGCAATTTCATTATTCTCAGAAACAACTATTTTTTCAGAGGCAGCAATGTGAAGGGCATCACCTTCTGTTAAAGAAAACCATTTTGTTATCTAGAGTTTGAAGACTCTACATCAAATGCATATAAAATATTTTATAGTTAACTAATGAAGTTAATTTGACTTAATTCTTTACTAGATCACAGAATTAAATCCAGTACTACATAGGAAAGCAATGTCAATGTGTAATTCTCTCCCCAAGTGATAATAAACAAATCAATTATAAGGGAGTTCTCTAAACTAACTAGAAAGCAAGATGGCTGCCATTCATCTTCTGATCCCAATTCAAGGTGCAAGTTATCACCTACAAAGCCCTGAATGGTTTGGAACCCGCCTACCTTCGGGACCGCAATTCCTTCCATAAACCTGCATGATCTCTTCAATTCCCTGGGGAGGCCCTCCTCCCACTCCCACTTTCATCACAAGTACAACTGGTGGGGACAAGAGAGAGAGCCTTCTCCACTGTGGCCCCTCGGCTTTGGAACTCGCTACCTAGTGAGATTAGGCAAGCCCCTACCCTGGCAGCTATTAAGAAAGATCTAAAAACTTGGCTCTTCTGGTGTGCCTTTGGCAAGTGAACTTATATCCTATTTTTCTGACCTAACTACAGTTCCGTCCTCATGATGCACTTTTCCCTCATCCTATTATTATTATTATTATTATTATTATTCTGAAGAAAAAAATTCTGTAGTGATACAATAAAAGAGGGGAAACATTTCATGAGTGTAGAAAAGCGGGAAATAAAGTGGGAAATAAAGAAATAAACTAACTTCTAAAAAAAGAAGAGAGAGAAAAGAAAAGAAAAAAAATCCTAAAACAGAGTAAGAGTGGAAGAAATTTGGTAAGAGAGTAAGAAATTTGGTACTTCCTATCTTCGCCTCGAAGAATTAATATCTAAGATAAAGGTAAAAGAGAATTATTTATATAGTGCTAGTCCTTTTAAAGTTTGAATTCAATCATTCTGTGTATTTCACATAATAGCTTCTTCTACTATTATTTCCAGATTCTCATTTTTCAAAAAACATTTCAGGGATGTCCAGTCCGTTTTCTATTTGGGATTTGGGGAGTGGCATGAGATTTGATATGTCAATATGTCCATATTCATTATATCTAATAGTCTTAGTACCCCTAGTGTTCTAGTTGGAGTGATTTCTTGTTTCCATAGTTTCCCCTTGTCCTTAATGAAGGTCTAACCCCACTGAGCTCCACCCTCAGGAACACTTTCTCCCACCACTATCTCAACTAGTGTTTTATCAATTTTATCCTGTGCATTTGGCCCGCCCACTGTGTTCTATATTTTATCATGTTATTTTGCAATTGCATATTTTATCTTGTTTACCTCTTGTACATTACTTTTTGATGTAATTTTGCTTCTTTGCATTTTATTTTGCTGTATTGTATTTTTGGSCTTGGCCTCATGTTAGCCCCCCYGAGTCCCCTTTGCGGAGATGGTGGTGGGGTATAAATAAAGATGATGATGATKATTATTTCCAAGTTCCATATTAGCRAAGTTAAAATATCTGTAAAGCAGTGCTACCCAAATTAGTAATCTAGGGACAGKTGACAGTCTGCAAATCTCTCGCTGTTGATCCCTGGTGTGTTTCCAAGAAAGGAATAAAGAAATGTAAACAAATATAGTCCTTGCATATTAGTAAAAAAAAGACACCCCCCCCCCGCCATCAGCTAGCTTGGAAATTCACGACTCTAAGAGGCTATGGTATATATTAATTAATCATCAATTTTACCTGCATCATTGAGTGTTTCACCTGCAAGAGAAATACATGCCAATTATTTTTAGATTTAGAAATGTTTTTTGTATGCAAAACAGTGGCAGAAAATGTTCTTGCCACAAAGCTGCTAAAAGTGATAAGCCCACCTTTTCTGCAGTCAGGATGAGGATCTTAGGGAAAAGGGCAAAAGGGATTTGGGAAGGTGTGTCTATCCCAAGAATGTTTCATTGTGATCCCCAGAAAAACACCACATCATTTGTGAATCCATGAATCCAGACAAGACAGAGGCCCTACTGGTCAGTCGGAAGGCCGAACAGGGCATAGGGTTACAGCCTGTGTTAGATGGGGTTATGCTCCCCCTGAAGATGCAGGTTCGCAGCTTGKGAGTGATCCTGTACTCATCGCTGAGMCTGGAACCCCWGGTCTCRGCGRTGGCCRGGAGAGCTTTTGCACAATTAAAACTTGTGCGCCAGCTGCGCCCGTACCTTGGGAAGTYGGATCTGGCCACAGTGGTCCACGSTCTTGTTACCTCCCGGATAGATTAMTGCAACACRCTCTTCGTGGGGTTGCCTTTGAAGACTGTTCGGAAACTTCAATTAGTCCAGCRGGAGGCAGCCAGATTACTCACCGGARCGTCATACAGGAAGCATACCACCCCTCTGCTATSTCAGCTCCACTGGCTGCCAATCCAGTTCCGAGCACAATTCAAAGTGCTGGTTTTGACCTACAAAACCCTATACGGTTCCAGCCCAGCGTATCTGTCCGAACACATCTCCCTCTAYGTCCCACCTYRGARYTTAAGATCTTCTGGGGAGRCCCTGCTCTCGGCCCCGCYTYTATCACAAGTGAGATTGGCGGGGACGAGGAGCAGGGCCTTCTCGGTGGTGGCCCCTCACCTRTGGAATTCACTCCCCGGGGAAATTAGATCATCGTCATCCCTCCTTTCCTTTAGAAGGAAATTAAAAACATGGATTTGGGACCRGGCGTTTGGGCAATCTGGCAGATAAATAAAGGACAACGGCGACTGATAGGAATGSAAAATGTGGAATGAAGTTATGGACTCTGAGTTGCGAACGYTGAGCATGAGATTGGTTTTATTGACTGTGATATATATTGATTTTTAACTGTTATAACTGTTTTAATTGCTGTCTATATATTTTTATCTGTATTATTGTGTAGGCATCCAACTGTGCCTTTTGTAAGCCGTCCTGAGTCCCCCCTTGGGGGTTGAGAAGGGCGGGGTAGAAGTACACGAAATAAATAAATAAATAAACAAACAAACAAACACTGCAACAGTTCAATGATCAGACACAATGACTGCTGCTATCACTAACTTCTCATTTTTCTTTAAAACGGCAGTGCCTTGAAACAAAAAGGCTTCTTTGTCAGTTTTTCACTCTTGGAAGTGTCATTAGACTTCCTGAAATTTTTGTGATAGCAGACAGATGTGGCTACTCTTCTGGTAACCGTTGGTAGGTAGGGAAAAAAATCAGTTTTTATTACTGGAACAGAAACTCCAAAGTAGTCTGATATTGACATTTAGGCAGTTCTTAGGTTTGATCACAAAGCAGTCTCTTCTTCTTCTTTTTTTAAAATGATCTTTATTAGAGTTTTTATCTATATACATCCAAGGGGTAGGGTATATAAGGTAGGGTAGGGTAGATAAGGTAAGGTAAGGTAAGTTAAGGGGGGTATAGGTGAAGTGGAGGAGGGAGGGAGTGGCTGCAATGGGAGGAGGGGGGGAAATGGGAAGGGGAGGGGGAGGGGGGGAAATGGGAGGGGGAGGGGGAGGGGGGAGAAGTGCAAGCGGTAGCTTCCCGTCAGTCTTCTGGAAGTCTTCCTCTCCTATTGCTTCTGTGTCTCCATGCCAACATAGATTTTTATGGTCTCTTTCTTCAGATGCTAGACAGATCTATTTGCAAAGGAACCTCTTTTGTTTTGATGAAATCTTTAAAGCCCGACCAGTTTGTACGCTTATTTGTTCCTTTAAGTCTCTGCGAGAGGCTGTCCATTTGGATTATGTCCAATACTTTTATATACCATTCTTCTAAGCTTGGGATTACTTTTAGTTTCCATACTTTAGCGGAAAGCAGTCTCTTCAACCTACTCCTTAAAAGGCATTGTAACACAAGCATGTGTTTAACTTTGTTGTTGTTGTTGTTCATTCGTTCAGTTGTCTCCGACTCTTCGTGACCTCATGGACCAGTCCACGCCAGAGCTCCCTGTCAGCCGTCACCACCCCCAGCCCCTTCAAGGTCAGTCCAGTCACTTCAAGGATGCCATCCATCCATCTTGCCCTTGGTCGGCCCCTCTTCCTTTTTCCTTCCACTTTCCCCAGCATAATTGTCTTCTCTAGGCTTTGCTGTCTCCTCATGATGTGGCCAAAGTACTTCATCTTGGCCCTCTAGTATCCTTCCCTCCAATGAGCAGTCGGGCTTTATTTCCTGGAGGATGGACTGGTTGGATCTTCTTGCAGTCCAAGGCACTCTCAGAACTTTCCTCCAACACCACAGCTCAAAAGCATTGATCTTCCTTCGCTCAGCCTTCCTGAAGGTCCAGCTCTCACATCCGTAGGTTACTACAGGGAATACCATGGCTTTGACTAGGCGGATCTTTGTTGCCAGTCTGATGTCTCTACTCTTTACTATTTTATCGAGACTGGACATTGCTCTCCTCCCAAGAAGTAAGCGTCTTCTGATTTCCTGGCCACAGTCTGCATCTGCAGTAATCTTTGCGCCTAGAAATACAAAGTCTGTCACGGCCTCCACATTTTCTCCCTCTATTTCCCAGTTGTCAATCATTCTTGTTGCCATAATCTTGGTTTTTTTGATGTTTAGCTGCAACCCAGCTTTTGCGCTTTCTTGTTTCACCTTGATTAGAAGGCTCCTCAGCTCCTCCTCGCTTTCGGCCATCAGAGTGGTGTCATCTGCATATCTGAGGTTGTTAATGTTTAACTTTATGTAATATTTAAAAGGCAGAAAATGGCTTTAAAAAGGGAAATAATACTTAATCATATAACTTATATACCTTCCAAAAGAACTCACTGAAGGTCTCTTGCTTGCTTACCTCTCTGCTTTATTGCAATCTCTCCTTCAGATTTTCTTTGTAAAATAGCTGTCAATTTCTCATCTGCATGTCTAGCTGCACTGCTATTAGCTTTCATTATTCCTAGCATAAAAGTTTGTAGTAGAAAGCCTAGTTAAATCACTTAAAGGATAATAAGATCTGTGCTATTGTAGGAATTCAACTTGCTTTAATGTCAGATATACATCTTTACAAAATGCACCATCTGCATAATTTCTCTCCTAATATTTTTGGAATAAATCACAGTATTTTGATTGGGACAGTTCAAACTATCCCCACCACCAGAAACAGGAGGTGGCAAACATCACTTCTAGCTGCTACATGTCTTCCTTTCTAAATGAAAAATTCTTGTATTTTCAAAGTTCCCAATTATTTTACCAACATATCATCTGGAATAAACCTGATCTCTGCTTATTTTGGAAATAAAGAAAAGTCAAGTCTGGTGAGTACTTGAATGGGAGCAGAAGATATCTCCAGGTAATGCTAGAAATTTTGAAGAGCATTTGTCAGTCAGGGATAACTCTGACCTAGATGGACCAATGACTTCACTCAGTACAGATTGAGTCTTAAGGGGCCCCCATAGTCACCATAATGGGGAGGAGGAGATGCAGGAAAGGGAGACCTTTAATTCGGCCTAGGGACCCTGGTAACTTAGTATCCATAAATTGGTCTCCTGACATGGTAAGTCGGTGTACCCAGGATGGCGGTCCCTCCGGACTGAAGGTGGTGCTGTTGAACGCCAGATCTGTCAACGGAAAAACAACTTTTATCCAGGATTTGATCCTGGATGAGCGGGCAGATCTGGCGTGCATCACGGAGACCTGGTTGGATGAAGCGGGAGGTGTAAATTTAACCCAGCTCTGTCCACCAGGGTTCTCTGTGCAGCACCAACCAAGATCCGGAGGGCGGGGAGGCGGGGTTGCGGTGGTCTATAGAAATACCATCCCTCTGACCAGGAGCCCCATCCCGCAGTCAACCAATTATGAATGTGTCCACCTGAGGGTGGGTGACCGGGACAGAATAGGGATTCTGTTAGTGTACCGCCCACCTCGCTGCACTACGGTCTCCCTACCTGAGCTAGCGGGGGTGGTCTCGAGCTTGGCGTTGGAGTCCCAACGGCTTCTTGTGCTGGGGGACTTCAATGTTCACGCCGAGGCTACCCTAGTAGGAGCGGCTCAGGACTTCATGTCTTCCATGGCAACCATGGGGCTGTCCCAATGGGTATCTGGCCCCACTCACAGTGCTGGACACACGTTGGATTTGGTTTTCTGCCAGGGATGGGAGCATGGTGGCGGTATTGAGGAGTTGTCTATCTCTCCGTTGCCATGGACCGACCACCACCTGGTCAGATTTAGGCTCACTGCACCCCCTAACCTCTGCAGAGGTGGGGGACCCATTAAGTTGGTCCGCCCCAGGAGGCTTATGGATCCGGATGGATTCCTGACGGCTCTTGGGGAGTTTCCCGCCACCTCGGTTGGTGATCCTGTTGATGCCCTGGTCACTCTCTGGAATGGGGAGATGACTAGGGCAATAGACACGATTGCTCCAGAACGTCCCCTCTCAAGTAGCCGAGCTAAACCAGCCCCTTGGTTCAACGAGGAGCTGGCAGCGATGAAGCGAAGGAAGAGGGAACTAGAGAGCGTGTGGCGTTCGGATCCGAGCGAGCCAAATCGAACACGGTTTGTGTCCTTTTTAAGGGCATATGCCGTGGCAATAAAGGCCGCAAAGAAATCTTCTTCGCGGCCACTATTGCGTCTGCGAAGAACCGTCCGGCTGAACTGTTCCGAGTTGTCAGAGGCCTTTTAAATCCCACCACTCAGGATGGGAGCCCTGACAACTCAGTAGCACGCTGTGAAGCTTTTGCTCGGTTCTTCGCAGACAAAGTCGCTTTGATTCATTCTGGGCTGGATGCCATATTAACGGCAGTCTCTGAGGATGTAGCTGGAGCATCT